AAAAAAATAAAAAATAAAAAAATTCTCTCTCTCTTTCTCTCCCTCTCTCACTCTCTCTTTAAAAAAAAAAAGGAGATATTGATGCCTAATTTTTAATGACAAGAGAATTTGGAAACAGCAATTCCCAAATTGTGTCATATACACGTGGAGTGTGCATGGCAGATTCTTCAGCCAGAGGCTGGGATGGTGGGATCATCACTGCTAAGAACTCCAAATTGACGGCTTATGCTGAATCAGCATGTTCTGTATTTGAGGGTGAGGGTGGATTTATTTTCTTAATATTGGACAGCCTCTTGCTGGATTTTCTGGAAAGGAAAGAGTAAGATCTCCATAAAGAACTTTTTGTACTTGTCTAGACATTCTAGGATTCCTTTTGATTATTTTAGACTTCTAGCTTTCTAAGATTCCTAAGTCTTGAGGGATATCTAGAAGTAGATCTTTTGGGCCCAAGCTGGCACTAATTCATATCCCAGGGGATATGAATCCTAGAGATGCCATAGAACTTGTCTGAGAGGCAGATGACCTTTTAAACTAACAACCTTCATTTGTTGGCACAGTCTAGCTCTTGCATCTTCCTGCCAGCCTCTGTGTACCTGTATGCTTCACTTACTGTTACGACCTGGTACTCCCTAGATCGTATTTGATAAGGATGTGATCCTTAGGTGACTCAGGTGATTCTTATTCTGAGAATGTTGGGAATGACTAAAGTCATTGCTCTCTTCAGTCCTCCATGTTTATACACAGGTTCAAGAACCTTGTATCAGGGCTGGGGCTGTAGCTCAGGGTCAGAACCCTTGCCTAGCATGTGTGAAGCACTGAGTTCAATTTCTAGCACCACTTAAAAATAAACAAATAAAATAAAGGAGGCATGCTGTCAACCTAAAACTACAAAAAATGAAACAAAACAATAACAACAACAAACCTTGTATTAGGAGATGTACAGTTATTGGTGGCACTTGAGATGTATAACTCATGATTTTATTGCTGTAGCTAAACATGCAAACTTCACTATTCCTTAAGCATTGGACAGGAATCTGTTAAATTCTTGGAAATAAGACATATACATGTTTTTAAAAAGGCAGTAGGCAGTGTGGCAGGATGTGTCTGGTCTAGGGCCAAAGGTGAATTTCATTGATGTGTAAAATAATTGCAGTGAGCATGCATTGTAAAAATCTTAGTTAACTTGGCATGGAGGTAACAAACAGTGTGGACTCCTCCATGCCTGAGGCAAGGTTCTAGATACATAGTCTGTGCCAACTGAGAGATGCCTCAGGGAGTGCTTCAGCTGGCTTAGGCCTTTTTCTACACAATAAATGTTAGTTCACTTATTGATCCTTGACCAAAAGAAAAAAGAAAGAAAAATATAATTTCCAAATACTCCATAAAGAGGACAATGAGTGGGAGGAGGACATCTTGCATAGACCTCATGGGTGCTGACCTCACAGTCACATCCACCTTCTTACAGAACAAATATATTGAGTCTTAGATCTGTTCAGTTAGATACCCACTCTTTTAAAATAAGAGATATAAACAGGCAAGGAACTTTGCAGTTCCTTGGGGGGGTCAATGGCAAAGTAGTTATTAGTTCAGACATCTTCTTGACCTAACTAAATCAAAGTTTGAGGAGAGGTGGATGAAAGAGTATGGAGTAAAATACCCCAAGCATTTTGGATGGCTCTAATCTTATTCTGAGAGGATTGAAAACATATTGAGAATACACCACTATCATTCTTTCTGTTTTCTTAATTTCTCTCTGCCTCTTTTCCATGAAGTTGTTGGATTGAGATGGGAGGGAGATGGGGTTGAGTGGGTTGCTCTCTGGATGAAAGTGGAAAGAGGAAGATAAATATACTGGTTTCTTCTTCCATTTCCTCCCTCTGACCTCAACTCTTGGCTAGATACAGTATTACTAGGTTAGGATTTTAGAATACCTTATTCCTGGGGGTGGAGATCAGTGGTAGAGCACTTGCCTAGCATGTGTGAGGCCTTATTAGTCTTATTTGGAAAGCCCTATTTTCTAACTACAAAGGGTTTCCTGAGGCTTTCTGTGTACCTGGGATTGCAGTTTGAAGAAAAGGGAATGCTGTAAGTGCAGAGATGTTTGGAGGGGAAGGTGGGGCTAAAGAAGGTTTGGGAGAGATTGTTTGGTCACCCAAGTTGGCATCAGCCACATGGGTTCAGAAATCCCATTTGTCAGAACTGAGTGGATTTAAGCTGGGTGCAGTGATGCACGCCTATAATCCTAGTGGCTTGAGAGGCTGAGGCAGGAGGATAGCAAGTTCAAAGCCAGCCTCAGCAATTTAGCAAGGCCCTAAGCAACTCAATGAGACCCTGTCTCTAAATAAAATACAAAAAGGGGGGGGGCGGTGCTGGGGATGTGGCTCAGTAGAAGCCCCTGGAATCAATCCCCAGTACCAAAAAGAAAAAGAAAACAAAACAAACTAAGTGTTTTCTTTTTTTCCCCAGTGTCTCACAAACACTAATGTATAAAAATCTCAAATGCCAATCTTGAAATACAAATTTAGTAATAAAACCAGATATTCCTGTTTACTGATTAGGGATAGATTCTTCTACATGGAAAGCAAATTTATAATCAGAATACTAATGTGTAATTTAAAAAATGCTCACTTGGTTAGGTGATCAGATTCCTGAAACTTTTTTTTTTTTAAATATTCTTCTTTTTTTTTTTTTTAAAGAGAGAGTGAGAGAGAGAAATTTAATATTTATTTTTTAGTTGTCGGTGGACACAACATCTTTGTTTGTATGTGGTGTTGAGGATCAAACTCCGGCCGCATGCATGCCAGGCGAGTGCACTACTGTTTGAGCCACATCCCCAGCCCTCCTGAGACTTTTGATTAGCACATTCTGTCCCTCAGAGGCCAAACTAGAAGTTTTCTTACAGAACATGGATTCAGAATAAGGTGGTTAGAGAAGCTTAATGTTTAGTGTCATCAAAGCAGGCCAGCCTGACACTTGCCATTTCCAACATAGTGATGGAGCTGTGTTCTCATGACAGCACTGCAGAATTTCTGCCAAACTAGCCTCTTTGGACATTCCTCTGATGGATATTAAACCCATCATTTCCTTTTCATAACATGGTTTTCTCAAGTTGTTACTATGGCAATTGTTTCAGGGTAGGCCTTTTAGTTACAATCTTTTTTCTTTTCTTTTTTTTTTTTTTTTGGTACTGTGGATTGAACTCAAGGGCACTTAATCACTGAGTCACAACCATAGCTCTTTTTATATTTTATTCTGAGACACAGTTTTGCTAAATGGCTCATTTAGTTGCTGTGGCTGACTTTGAACTTGCAATCCCCTAGCCTCAGCCTCAGCAGCTGGGATTACAGGCATGAGCCACTGCGCCCGGCTAGTTATAATCTTAAGATGGTGCTTCCTTCTAAGATTTTTTCATTAGAATTGGGGAGATCACTGACAGTCTTTTGGGTTATTCTTAAACATAGCAGATTATATCTTGTATATTTCAAGTATTCCTCATTTCAGTTTTAGAGGTAGCCTTAGTTTCACTTATGGAGTGATGGGGTTTGTTAGCCCTGTATAATTTCCAATATGTAGCATCCATCAGAAATTGAAGTAGCTCCTAAATTCAGAGGGTACAAAATGAACTGGAGGAGAGCTGGTCTGTTCCCCAGTGACATGAGAACTGCAGTAATTTTCTCTGATAAATAATTAAACCATGCTTTCCGAGGGGGTTCTATTACAATGAGCAGGTGTGCAGAGCGTGAGAGGTTTGGTTACAGTGAGAGGAAGGATGCTGTGGGCAGATAGACAGCAACTGGCCCAGAGTGTCCCCATCTGCCCCAGGAGGTGGAAGTGAGGGGCACCCAGGTGATTTTCTGACAATAGAGTAACGGATTACAAAATCTAAGCTGATCAGAGACAGTCCCTTTCCTTGTCCTGCTGGAAAGAACCCAAGGAGCCCAGAGTGGCATTTTTTTTTTTTTAATTAAATTCCAGGTTTGGTCTTCTGGGAGTTTTGTATGAGAGAATCTTAAGCAGGGCTTGGTGCACTTAGACAGTCCCAACTCACTGGGTCCTGGAGGTGACTATGGAATAAGCCATGGGAGTCAAGAGCTCTTTGTTATTTGTGGTCCCTTGGGGTGAGGGACAGATACTTATTAATCCTCATTAATTTTTTTCTCTCTTATTTTCATGTCCTTGCCTTGGAGCAGTTATTACAGTAAGTATTATCAGGGGGTTTGGAATTGTAGATGATTTATAAGAAAAGAAATAAAAATGTAACTGGGGCTGGCTGGTGGTATAGCTTAGTGGTAGATTGCTTACCTAGCATGTGCAAGGCCCTGTGTGTGACCCCCAACATCACAAAATAAATAAAAAATTAATAAATAAATGCACTAGAAGTCCTGGATATTCTCTTTTGGTGTTGTTGAGGCGTCTTTTCAGTCCTGATGAAGAGTTTGTTATTTGGCAGGGGGACCTCCTGTTTTAAGCTGCGTTGACTTGTGGCTTTATCAGGTACATCCTGGCTCTGGGTCTTGTATGTACAGAATGACTCAAGGCTCTCCCCTGCTGTCCTCAGGTCATGCCTACTCAGGTTGTACAAAAATTTTGGTTCAGCTGGCCTGATTGTGACATTCCTTTCCTATTGAGCACCTGTTGACCCCAGTGAGCACTGACCTTTGGGCAAATTGTGAAGTCAACAAGATATTTCTTCTGTGATCATCCCCTTTGTCACTGTCCACACCCTTCCACCCTTCAGCATACTCATCCAAGTGCATTGTCTCTTCTAGGAAACTTAATTCCTGTTGAGATGATAATGGGTTTTTCCTCTTTTTAGTAGTTACAGTTTTTGTTTTCGTTTTTTTCCCCTTTTACAGTTGTAGTTTTTAAAAAGCACTAAGAGAAGGAGACAATAATTAACATGAAGGGTTATCTCAGCCAAAGGCTAGCTAAGGAGAAAAGGGCCATGATGAATGTTTTTTGTTGGTTGGAGTCTTCCTTACTCTCTCCATGATACTAATTAAGTATTAGTACCCTATGCATGAAGTAATATGGAAGACTAGTTAAATACAAGGACTCTAAAGTTAGACAATCTGCTTTTTAGCCAGTTCTGTGATGATCTATCTCGGGCCTTGACTGCATCACCTAACTTGTGAATGTCATTGTCCTCATCTGTAAAATGAGGATGATTCCATAGACGTCACAAGCTGGAGTGAGAATTCAACTGGAGTGACGCATGTCTCACATATGATGGGTCCCCAGTGAAGTTAGCTATTATTATCAGGCAAGGCCTGGATTCTTCCAGCTGCCCAGGGTCCAGTGATGGGAGACCATACTCTCCAGCTATGAACATGGTGACTGTAAAGTGTATGTATGTGTTTTCTTTTTCCCTCTTCCAGAATGAGTACATGAAAGAGGACTTTCTGATTAAAATTGAAACTTGGCACAAACCAGATCTTGGCACCCAGGAGAATGTAAGTAGTATTTCCCAAGGTTCCCAAGAGTTTCCAGGATTCAGGACAGGATCTTGAATTTCTGTCCTATAGCTTCTGTATCCCTACCATGGGGTCCTCTCTGTGGTCCTCTTTCACTTGGCCAGGAAAGCTGGGGCTTCTTGTTAAACCTGTCTTACCCCAGGGTAAGATTGCCCCATTTTTGATTTTCAAAATGTGATCTCTGAGATTTCTTACTGCACCTTCCTGTAGTGCTGGGATAGGTCTAAAATGCAGTTACTGGTGCAGAGGAGCTGTATTTTATTTATCTGTTTGTCAATCTGTCACTATTTATTTATGGTACTGGGTCTCAAACCCAGGAGCACTTTATAACTGAGCTATATCCTCAGCCCCTTTTAAAATTTTTTATTTTGAGACTGATTTGCCCATGCTGGCCTCAGACTTGCCCTCCCCCTGCCTCAGCATCCCCAGTTGCTCTGATTATGGGCAAGTAGAATACTATGTCCCGTTGGAGTGGGATTTTCTTTCTTTCTTTCTTTCTTTCTTTCTTTTTTTTTTCTTTTTTTTGTTTTGTGGTGCTGGGGATTGAACCCAGGGCCTTATGCATGCAAGCACTCTACCAACTGAGCTATATCCGCAGGCCTGGAGTGGTATTTCTAAAACAACAAAATTACAGCTTCTGGGCTGGAGATGTAGCTCAGTAGTAGAGGGCTTGCCTAGCATGCCTAGCATGCATAAAGATTTAGGTTTGATCTCCAGCTGCATAAAACAAAACAAAACAAAAAAAATTATAGCTTCTGTAGAGCACAAATTTTTAAAATACACATTTTTTTTTTTTCTTCTCCCAGTTCAGGGCCTTGTGCATACTAGGCAAGTGCTGTACCACTAAGCTATATCCCCAGCCCCCAGCTCTTTTTGTTTTTTGTGGGTTTGTTTGTTTGGGGGTTTGTTTATTTGGAGGCAGGATTTCACTGAATTGCCCAGACTGGCTTCAAACTTGTAATACTCCCACCTTGGCTTTCTGAGTAGCTGAGAATATGGGTACATGCCATCATGCCCAGCTAAAATACACCTTTCCTTTGTCTTAGGAATTCCCTATCTAGGAATTTACTAGACAATTATTTTCTCACATATGTGTCATAACATACACAAAGAAATACATTATAGCAACATTTTTTTTTCTTTTTCTTTTACTAGAGATAGAAACCAGGGGCACTTAACCACTGAGCGACATCCCCAGCCCTTTTTTGTATTTTTATTTAGAGACTAGGTTTCACTGAGTTGCTTAGGCTGGCTCTGAACTCTCTATCCTTCTGCCTTAGCCTCTCAAGCCACTGGGATTACAGATGCGTACCACCATGCCTGGCCATTATAGCATTCTTTGTGTAACCAAAGATTAGAAACAGCACAAGAGCTGGGCATGGTGGCTCATGCCTGTAATCCCAGCGACTTGGGAGTATGAGGCAGGAGGATCACAAGCTCAAGGCCAACCTCAGGAACTCAGCAATTTAGCAAGACCCTGTCTCAAAACAAAATATAAAAAGGGCCAGGGATGTGACACAGTGGTTAAGCATCCCTGGGTTCAGTCCCCAGAATCAAAAATCAAAAATAAGAAGACAATAAAGAACAATCCTCAAGCTTTTTATTTAGGGGAAGGAAGGGAGAGAGGGAAAGGGAAGTTAACTGGGGAATGAAATTTTTTTAAAAAAATATTTATTTTGTAGTTTTCGGTGGACACAACATCGTTATTTTATTTTTTTTATGTGGTGCTGAGGATTGAACCCAGCGCCCCGTGCATGCCAGGCGAGCGCGTTACCGCTTGAGCCACATCCCCAGCCCATGGGGAATGAAATTGATCAAAGTATGTTATGTGTATGTACAAGTATGGCATAATTCCACCATTATGTGTAATTATTCACCAATAAAAATATATTGTTCAGGGACTGGGATTGTGGCTCAGTGGTAGAGCACTTGGCCTTGCAAGTGTGAGGCACTGGGTTTGATTCTCAGCACTGCATATAAATAAATAAATAAAATAAAGTTCCATCAACAACTAAAAAAATTTTTTTTAAAAAAGGTATATATATGTTGTTCAATGAAAAAAGCAAGATACTAACAAATGTGTATATGTTCTAGTGTTTGTATTAAAAATAAAAACTGTGCCGGGGGTGGAGGGGGTTGGCGGGGATTGATTATAGCAACAGTGTCTGTACTAGAGTGGGCCTGGGGGACAAGCAAGAAAGTTACTCTTCATTGTATCCTTTCCATATATTTTGAATTTGTGTTCTAAAAATTTCATACTATGTACCTATACAGATGATTAAAATAAGCATGTGTGGCTAAGCAGGCAACATCTCCAGAAATATGTAGACTTTACTAAGGGTAACATGAGGAAACAATGTAGTGCTGGGATAGGTCTAAAATGCACCTAGGAAGGCTGGGGATGTGGCTCAAGCAGTAACCTGGCATGCGTGCGGCCCAGGTTCGATCCTCAGCACCACATACAAAGATGTTGTGTCCGCCGAGAACTAAAAAAAATAAATATTAAAAAAAATTAAAAAATAAAATAAAATAAAATGCACCTAGGAGTCCTAAGGATATTTTGACCTGTGGAAATGGAACTTAGCCTGAAAAAATCAGCTTTATTCTCTAATTTATGTCTACTTAAAATCCAGTGTCCTATTTCTATATGTATATTTTATGGTGATGTTGCAGATTGGATCCAGGACCTCAAACATGCTGAGCTACAGCCCCCAATCCTTTTTTTTTTTTTTTTTTTAAAGAGAGAGTGAGAGAGAGGGGGACAGAGAGAGAGAGAGAATTTTAACATTTATTTATTTTTTCTTAGTTCTCGGCGGATACAACATCTTTGTTGGTATGTGGTGCTGCTGAGGATCGAACCCGGGCCGCACGCATGCTAGGCGAGCGCGCTACCGCTTGAGCCACCTCCCCAGCCCCCCCCAATCCTTTAAAAAAAATTTTTTTTGAAACAAGATCTTGCTTAATTGCTGGGATTATAAGTATATACCACTGTACCCAGCTCCTCTGCATAACTTTGTACAGGCTGACTATTCCTTATCTGGAATGCTTTGGACCAGAAGTGTTTTAGATTTCGGATTTAGAATATTTGCATATACATAAAAACATATCTTGGGGATGGGACCCAAGTATAAACACAAAATTCATTTATGTTTATGGATACCTTATACATATAGCCTGAAGGAAATCCCCTTCTTCCTGCAGGTGCATAAACTGGAGCCTGAGGCATGGAAACATGTGGAAGCCATATATATAGACATTGCAGATCGAAGTCAAGTACTTAGCAAGGTAAGAACTACTTAAAGATGTTGGATGTAGAAGTGACTTCTATTAGAGAAACCAGGGAACAATATCAAACTTGGCTCAAAAGGAAGTTCTCTCTTTTATTGTTTGCTGTTTTACTTATTTTATTTTTTTATGGTACTATGGATTGAACCAGAACCTTGCAAATGCTACCACTGAGGTATATCCTTGGTCCCTTTTTAAATTTTAAAATATTTAATTATTTTTTCCTGGTACTGGGAGTTGAACCCAGGATCCCTCTACTACTCTAATATTACTGTATTATACCCCCCAACCCCCCACCAACATTTTATTATTTATTTATTTATTTTGGTACCAGGGATTGAACTCAGGGGCACTCAACCACTGAGCCGTATCCTCAGCCCTGTTTTGTATTTTATTTAGAGACAGGGTCTCACTGAGTTGCTTAGTGCCTCGCTTTTGCTGAAGCTGGTTTTGAACTCGCAATTCTCCTTTCTTATCCTCCCAAGCTTCTGGGATTACAGGTGTGCCCCACCATGCCTGGCTTTTTTATTTTGAGACAGGGTTTCACTAAGTTGCCAAGGCTAGCCTCAAATGTGATCTTCCTGCTTCAGCCTCTCAAGCTGGGACTACAGGTGTGTGCTACTGTGTCCATCTATTTTATTTTGAGATAAGCTCTCACTAAATTGTCTGGGCTGGCCTTGAACTTTTGATCCTCCTGTTAAGCCTCCCAGGTAGCTGGGATTACATGTGTTTGTCACCATTCCCTGCATTGTTTTGTTTATTTATTCAAAATGTGGTTAGGGATTTTTTTTTTTTTAAAGAGAGAGAGAGAGGGGGATAGAGAGAGAGAGAGAGAGAGAGAGAATTTTAACATTTATTTATTTTTTCTTAGTTCTCGGCGGACACAACATCTTTGTTGGTATGTGGTGCTAAGGATCGAACCTGGGCCGCACGCATGCGAGGCGAGCGCGCTACCGCTTGAGCCACATCCCCAGCCCCAGGGATTTTTTGATTAGAAATTGGATCCAGGGAACTCTACCACTGAGCTACATCTCCAACCCTTTTTATTTTGAGACAAGGTCTAAGTTGCCAAGGCCAGCCTTGAACTTTTAATCTCTTGGCCTCCCAATTAGCAGGGATCATAGGCATGTGCCACTATGCCCAGTTTATTTGTTTTATTTTTAAAGTTAGTATTTAGAATTCCCCCTTGTCTTGAGTTGGGGATGCTACTGGGGAGATAGCAGCCCAAATTTATGTGTCCTGTTTGGCCTCTGGAAGTTATTATTAGACAGTGTAGATGCCATTGGTAGAGTGTTTTGACCTGCCAAAATGATGTTTAACCTGAAAAATGAAGGCACTAGTTTTCAGATTTATTTTTTGAATCCAGTAATTTTAAAACATGTATTGCCTGTTTGGAGTACTCTCTTAGGTTCTGTATGTTCCCAATGAGAGGAACAGAATATAGGAAAAGACTTATCTCCTGTCTTAAGAAGCTGGTAGTAGCTTTTCACAGTAACAAATATTTTAACTGGAAAAGGTTGGTCCACTGCTAGATCATAGCTTGATGAGACAAGGACCAGGTCTGTCCAGCTTGTTTACCCTTGTGCTCCCAGAAAGTATCTATTTAGGGAATAGAAGGGTTTGATGCCCCTTCACTCATTACTGCTCTTTTTTTTTTTTTTAAGTTTATTTATTTATTTTTTTTAAGAGAGAGTGAGAGAGGGGAGAGAGAGAGAGAGAGAGAGTTTTTAATATTTATTTTTTAGTTCTCGGCGGACACAACATCTTTGTTGGTATGTGGTGCTGAGGATCGAACGCGGGCCGCACGCATGCCAGGCAAGCGTGCTACCGCTTGAACCACATCCCCAGCCCATTACTGCTCTTTTTTGACAGAGGACTTGTTGGAATCATGAGACAGGAATTTAACTCTGCCCATTGATAGGGAGTAAATGTTTGCTTTTTTGTATCCAGGGGTCTGATACCTCTTTCCTGTGGTCACTGTGTGCACTTTAGATAGTTCACTTTGTGCATTTCCAAAAAGATAAGAAAACCATCTTGTGCTTCCTTGCTTAACATCCCTACCCCGTGCTCAAAAGATTGGTTAATTTTTCAAAAAGCTTTTAACTGAAGTGTGACTAGCCAGATGAGTATGTCATAAATGTACAGCCTGATGAATTTTCTCAAACTGAACATACCCAAGTGTTTCTCAAACACTAAACTAGCAAAAACTAAGGTTCTTTGACTATTTTGTCAACTCTGGTTCTAAGAGTAGAAGGAGACCTGGGGATGTAGCTTAGTGTAGGGTGCCTATCTAGCATGCACCAGGCCCTGAATTCAGTTCCAAGTACCACAAAAAAAGAGTGTGTGTGTGTGAAAGGAAGGTAGTAGTAGGGTAGAGGTTTTTATTTTTATTTTGAATACACAAATAATCCCCATAGTTTGGGAAAATACTGTGTGTGTGCAGGTATGTGTGTGTGTGTGTGTGTGTGATATTATCTTTGTTATTTTCATCAAGTAAATACTAAGATAGTATACTAAGTTTGTTTTTCTTGAGCCCACATTAGTCAATGTGGAGTTCCAGCTGAAAATTAAACTTTTGTTGTGATTAATTAACACAGAGAATTGATTGTATTATGAATCAGTGATGTTGGGGAGGGAGGAATGGAAAGAGGTTATCAATGACTAAGTTGTGGTATGTAGGATAAGAGGTTCTGGCGTGCACAGTAGAGTGACTATGGATAATGATAGTGTATTGTATATCTAGAAAAACTAGAAGAAAGGAGTTTGAATTTTTTTTTTTGTGGGGGTCGAGGGGTGGGTGGGTACGGGGGATTGAACTCAGTGGCACCCAACCACTGAGCCACATCTCCAGCCCTATTTTGTATTTTGATTAGAGACAAGGTCTCACTGAGTTGCTTAATGCTTCACAGTTGCTGAGGCTGGCTTTGAATTTGAGATCCTCCTGCCTCAGCTTCCTCAGCCCTGGGATTATAGGCATGTGGTACTGTGACCAGCCCGTTTGAATGTTTTGACCATAAAGAAATTATACATGTTTAAGGACCCAGATAGGTTCAATCTGATTCAAACATTACAGTATACAGTGTATCAATATCACATGGCATCCATAAATATGTGTAATTTTATGTTTTTATGCATCAGATTAAAATTTTAGTTTAAATTTAAAAATTAAATAAGTCAGTGAAGTGAGACTGACCAGTAAAGTTCACAAGGATAGGTCCTAGACAGTGAACACTTCTAATAGTAATTTTATTAAAACAAGTGGAGATTAGACAAGATTTCAGAAATGATGGCCAGTTGTCCTGAGCTATGGCTATGTTTTAAAATTACCTTCAGGGATTACAAAGAAAGAAAGCAAATCCATGCTGCTGTCCTCACCTGCAGATATTTTAGTCACTAGGTTTTAGGTAGGGTGACCCAGAAATCTGTATCTTGAAAGTCTTCCCTGACAATTTGGATGCTTACCCAGGTTTGAAAATCTGTCTTAAAATTGGAAATACGTGCCTTCTCAGAAAAATCTGGTGACAGTTTTATACTGGTAAAATTGAAAACAAACCCTGGCAGAAAAGAATTACATGGAACTCTGCTCTAAGGCAAATGTAAACAGTTCTACATCTTGTTTATAACATTTTCCCCTATTTGCTATATGCCAGCAGCATCAAGACCTGATATGAAGTATACTTTAATGAAAATCTGACATCTTCCTCTCTCCTTCTCTCTTTTTCCCTTCCCCTCCAACCCTTATTCCACAACTTCTCAGGATTACAAGGCAGAGGAAGACCCTGCAAAATTTAAATCTGTCAAAACAGGCCGAGGACCCTTGGGTCCAAATTGGAAGGTGCAGTTCACATCCTTACCACCAGGGGGCTGGGCACAGAGTGGGTGGGCCTCCCCATGGAGGAGGGAATGGCTGGGGCTGGTCTCCCCTACAGCCTAAGGTCTTTCCTCTTAGTTACTGGCTTGCCTCTGGCTGTGTTTCTAATGCAGCAAGAACTTGTAAATGAGAAAGACTGGCCATATATGTGTGCATACAAACTGGTTACTGTCAAGTTCAAGTGGTGGGGCCTGCAGAACAAAGTGGAAAATTTTATACATAAGGTAAGTGACAAGGGTGACAAGGTGAGACCTGTGTGTGTGTATGTGTGTGGTGGATGTTTGGCCCAACAAGAAAAGATCATACGACACACGTGACCTGTGTTATAGGTTGCCAGCATAATCATATTTCACAGTTTAATTTTTTAGATCCTCATTTTCACTTGCATGTAACTGTCTTACAGTTTAATGTTGTCTATCTCGGGGCACCACATGCAACAGGGAAGGAAACCAAGGAAAAAGAAGGAAACAGAAAGGGTCTTGCTATGATTGAAATAAAAATAAAACTCAGTCTCTCTTTTCTTGAAGCCAAAAAGCAAGAGGTACTGTGAGCCAAATTTTCTAGTGCTCTGAGTTACTCAACTGGGCAGACCTAAGCAATTTTATAGTCTTTTAATTCTCTGAATTAGACACATACTCTTGGGTCACAATTCATAGCTGTTGGCCAGTTAAAACCTGGCATTAGGGGCTGGATATGTGGCTCAAGCGGTAGCACGCTTGCCTGGCATGCTTGCGGCCTGGGTTCAATTCTCAGCACCACATACAAACAAAGATGTTGTGTCCGCCAAAAGCTAAAAAATAAATTAAAAAAAAAAAACAAAAAACCTAGCATTAGGCACCAAAGATAAGGAGGAAGTCTGACAGTTGCTTGGAGGCCTTAGTTTGACTAGGAGCATGATCATAGGCTGCCTGTTGGTAGTATTTGGGGCAAAGGGCCTAGCTGCAAAGTAGGCATCTATCCTTTCTTGAGGGCTCCCTCATGCTTGAAGCCTTACCTGTTTAACACATGAAGGCAAAGGTCACTGACCTATGGCTAATCCAGATAAGTCATCCAGATATCACTCCTCCCCAGTAGCATGGAGATTGTGTCGAGGAGGGCGGTAGCAGTGGCTTTCCCCTTCTTGTTCTAACTTGGTTCCCTCCTTTTTATAGCAAGAGAAGCGTCTGTTTACAAATTTCCACAGGCAGCTGTTCTGTTGGCTTGATAAGTGGGTTGATCTGACCATGGATGACATTCGAAGGATGGAAGAAGAGACGAAGAGACAGCTAGATGAGGTGAGTGGGATCCCAGGGGAGACTCTACAGCTCTCAGAGAAATCTGTAAATATTAGGGAAACTGTCATTCTGGGACACTTCACTAAGGGCCACTGCCCTGTAGTTCTAGTCTGCTAAAGGTAAGATGAATTACCAGGCAATATGGGAGCCATAGGGAAGAAAATGGCCCATGTTCTTTAATGTGAAGTCTAGTTAAGGTCTTGGCATATCCACAGAGACAAATAAGGTCATCTATGCCAAGTGCCAAGGGAATGATACTGCCACTATAGTGACTTCAGAGCCAGGTGAGGGATCATGCTGAGCTGCAGAGTTGGAGGTGACCCTGGTAGGAGGCAAGTTGGGCTGAACCATGAATACTACCCACAATACCCACAGAGGACAGCAATAGCACTCACAGAAGCTCGTTGCTCTGAATGGTTGTTTTGAGCTAATTTTAGAGTTTGGAGCTTTTGCTTTTTTTTTGGCCTTGGCATAGATCCCAGAAGAAGGGCTATCTACTTCATGGAATCTGGAGACCCAGCCCTTATGCCTCATTTAGGGAGGTTTCCCTGAGAGGCCTATTTAGAGGAGGTGGTCAGTGAATAACAGGCACTCCCCCTGTGTGCTAAGCACTGTTCTAGGGGCTTTTACATACACCACCTAGTGCCATCATCACAAGTCCTATGAGGAGGCACTGTCAACTGTCAGCCAAGGGAAGAGGCTCTGGGAGCTCAGTGTGGCTGTGCTGGGCTGCAGGTGATAGAGGCAGCAGGAAAGCCCAATGTGTGACCCAAAGCCACAGCTTTTTTTTTTTTTTTTTTTTTTAAACAGGCTGGGAATTTAACCCAGGGCCTTGTTGTGCTGCTAGGCAAAATGCTGTACCACTGAGTTGTACCCCTAGCCCTACAAAATCATAACTCTGAATCACTCCCCTTTTCTCCTCCTCTTATGTGCTATTTGGGGCACCCCTGACCTCTCAGGGCTAAAAGCCAGGGTATTGATTTCTCCCTCCTAGCCCCTAGTGGGGGTTGGTGTGAAGCCTGGGTATCCAGCAAAGACCTTACTTTGGAATAGCCTTATCCAGCTCTCTGGCAGGGCCTTAAGTGAGGACCAGGTTTGGGTTCCCCTGGTGTCCCATGCTACACAGGTGCTCTGTACTTCACGGTGCTGGTCTAGTGTGGATCCTGGGTGCAGAAATCCTTCCTTCCTCTGGAGCCGCCCCCCCCCCCCAACTGTTCTTGGATATCTCTCTTCCTAGGCTGACTTACTGGCAGGTGCTGCCCTGAATTGGTTCCTGCTGAAGGCAGATGTTTTGGTAATTCATTCAGCTGCATTTGGCAGTGAAGTGACAGCATTTCGGGCACAGTCCTAATTCTTCTGCTAAGGATCATCAGGAAGTAGTAGATTTGAAAGTTCAAGGCTCTGGTGATTTTGCCTGTATGAGAGAGAGACTAGAATCTTTTGGTCACCCTAGTCGTGACTAAAAAGAAAAGTTACCAACTGGAGCAACATGGAGGTTTTCATTAAGGTTTGGCTTGGAGCTTTAACTCCCCACTGCCCATCAAAGGCCAGTGTAAAGTACATTGGGGTTCATGTGTTTGTTGTCCTCCTTTTGCTTTTTAACTCCCACTCCACTTTTTTGATGTTTCTCCATTCCATGGAGGATTATGCCAAATGCTTAGATTATCACTGCCCTCGAGAATAACTGCAAATGCAGGAAATGCTTTGGAATTAGAATTTTAAAACTAATTTGCAGTATAAGAAAAAACAAACCAAATCCGTGTCATTGTGGAACATGTTTTAACCTGCTTAGCAACTGAATAGAACCTTTGTATGCTAACTAAACCCCTGACTTATTTTTTTCTCTATCTAAAAATAAATTTGAGGGGCTGGGGATGTAGCTCAAGCAGTAGCGCGCTCGCCTGGCATGTGTGCGGCCCGGGTTCGATCCTCAGCACCACATACAAACAAAGATGTTGTGTCCGCTGAAAACTGAAAAATAAATATTAAAAAATAAATAAATAAATAAAAATAAAAATAAAAATAAATTTGATGGACATGATGGTTCATGCTTACAATACTAGTGAC